GAGCCAATCAAATTTCAAGAATCTGCAATAAAATATTCTAGAACCCGTTTCCTTTTTTGGTATATCCCCTGACTGTAATATGATTTGATTTATTCAAAACTCTAATTATAATAATAAAATAATTTTTAAAATCTTTATATAATATAAAGTATTAATATAAAGTATCAAAAAATTTAATAATATTTGATATTAAATATTTTTATCAAATAGTTTAAAATATAATTATTAAGAAGTAATAGTTATTTAAATTTTTTATTTATTATAAAAACTTATTTTGAATTTAACAAAATATTTAAACCTTTAATTTTAAAATTTTTATTAAAATAAAATAAAATTTTATTATTTTTATAATTTTAATATAGTTTTAATTTTATAAATTTATTAATATAAATTAATATAATTTTTACTAATTTATTATTTAAATGACTTATTAAATCTTAAGTTTATCCAGTAATTTTATATATTATAAAGAATTAAAAATAAAATTACTAAATGAATTATTAATAAATATAAGTTTTATTACTATTAAAAATATTAAAAGAATAATAAATAATTAATAAAATAATGATATTATAATAAAAATCTGTTTAAATAATAATATTTTTTTCAAATTTACCAAAAAATTCTTTATTGATATTTTTTTTTAATATTTTTTAATTTCTCTTTATTGAAAAAATTTTAATCTTTTTAAATTATATTTTTGTATTTTTATTAATAAAGTAATTACTGGATTATAAATTTTTGGAATTATATAATATTTTTTTATACCTTTTTTTTTTTAATATTAAAAAGGAGTAATAATATTTTAAATGATAAGTATAATTTAGATTTTTTTAATTATAATTCAATAAATAATATAATATTTAAAATAAGTTTCTTACTTTTTATGATGATATTAAAGATTAGAAATGCTATTATTTCCTATTATTCATAATAATATTAAATCGGACAAAAATAATTTAGTTCAAAAAATATTTAGAAGAAAATTAGATAATATTAATAATGAAAAAAAGTATATATTTTTTATTTTTATTATATTTGTATTAAATTAAATATTAATTTTTTTTTGTTTTTAAAGAGAAAATAATACAAGGCTATAAGTTATAGTTTATCAAATATTCCTAGAAAAAAGTTTGCTGAATTATTTTCAAATCTGTCTTGATGGTTTATGAGAAGGTAGATAGATCAATGAATCTTATTCTAACAAAGAACATTTTACTGATGAGATACAATATACCTTTTTGTTAGAAGATATAGTCTCGTTTTGAGAATTCATGAAAATATTAAAGAACGGCTCAGTGAATAATGAAAATGAAAACGTCATTGAGACTGAAAATTTTCCTTAAAAATTATGCTTTCATAACTAATAAGTTTAATAATCGCGTAATAAAATCACATATAATAGCAGAAATAAGCTATAAATTTGATTAACTTGTCATATTGAAGTATACAACTAAACTTTTTATATCCCTTTCAAAATGCACATTCTCATTCTGTCCCAAGCATATAGAGATCATATAAAAATTTTCTCTTTAAATGCACGATTGCATTTAGATAGATTCATTAAAGGTTATCGATTTCAACGAGAACTTCCAGAACATATTATTATTACGCTGTTTTGGTAGAGAATTGTCTAATTTTGGTTTCAAATATATATTTCAAGATTTAAAAAAAAATATACTTTATTGATATTATTATTGATAAAAGATTTAATTAATACAGTTTTTACATAAATTACATAATGTTGCATTTTGCAAGAAATACCGAATTTCTCGAATCAAGATGTTGCTCCGCCTCATCAATGATTATATCGTCCAATGCATCAATTTTTTCTTTTATTTTTAACGATTCCGAAGTTTGCTTATCCAATTCGACTTGTTGTTTTTTTACATTTCGCTTTATTTCTTCAATTCGTTCATTTACCTGAAGTAAGGTTTGTTGTAAAATTTCTCTTTCTTCCATATAATCTTTGGTTCTTTCATTTAAATCAAATAAATTTTTTGGTCTATAAATTCTTTGACAAGTTACCAAATGGGACAATAATTTCTCTCTTGAATCATCACGGGAGCTTTGATCAGGATCTTCAATGACCGTCATATTGTTTACGTGAATTATTTGATTACATGACTCAACAATTTCGAAAACCTTCTCGTTTTCATTGATCATCCTTGCGTAATCCACATCACAGGCCAATTCATCCCTAAAACTAGGAAATCTAGTTCTCACGATAGTAGTATACTCATAAACATCTTCATCAAAGATGACTTTCTTCAATAAATTATAAGCGGATATTTCAACATTGGTAAATCTTCCATCATTTACAAATAGAATTTGATTTAATCCACCTCTTAGCGCGCGCGTTGCATTTACGATGGTTTGTAAGACTTGATGAGTGGTTAATTGCGTATCGTTAATCCCTATGGTGTCAATTATGTTATACCTCACCCCGTTTATGTAAAACCTTTCGCTTTGAATATCGCGAGTTTCGCTAACGCTAGACTCACTTTCTTTAAAATTAATGGTATCGCTTATCACATTGGCCAATGTAGACTTGCCACTTCCTGTTGTACCAATCAAAAGTAAGTTTCTGGCCATTATTCTAAATGAATTGGTTTTTTATAGTTTTTTTTTTCAATATAATTTAATTTCAATTTTCAAACTTTTTATTTCATTTTCATTTTGGGGGGTGGGAATTCAAGAAAAAAATATTTTTTATATTCTTTTTTTAAATAAAAAAAATTCCCCTTGCCTATCTATACTGAGAAATAATTTTGTTTGCCCAGAGTAAATAATAGATTTACTCAAAAGAAGTACCGATTTTCACAAAATATTAACAATGAATACGAACAAACCAATCAGGTCGTATCCTTTATTTGAGGGGCACATGAAAATTTGAGCGATGTGCATGGTTATGACGATAGAGGATCACGAGAACGACTAGTTTAAGTAAATATGATTTCATCCGGAAAGTCTAACAAAGACACGTAAAAAAAAGGAAGTTGTAAATCATAAGTTCCAAAAACGTGATTTTATTTATTAGCATAAAAATAATAACAAATGCAAATGCGATGATTTTCTTTTAACGCTACATGGTTTTTCTCGCGTTGAAATAAAGTTAACCAGGTGCATACTTTTTTTGTACGTTCAAAAGTAAAGTAATGCAATGCAGATCGAAAATTAAAGTTTTCTTATTTTGTAGTAAATTCAACAAAACATGTCAAAGGGTAAAAAATATAATAATACAGCAACAGGTGAAAGAAATAATTTGTCTAAACGGTGATATAATATTCAATAATGTTAAAATTATAAATAATAATAAAATTGGTTAATAAACGAAAATGTGGAAAGGATAGAGAAGCAGTAATAGACATAGTTCGTCACATATAGGTTAAATCACGAGGTGACATCATCAACATCACAGCTACAACCATCCCCGGAGCCGCAACCAGCGCCACCATCATTACAGCGTTTCATGAGGTCTACCAATGAAAATATTAAATAAATGTATGGTGAGAAATAGAAAGATAAAAAGTTATGAATGATTTCAAATTTTTATTTTTTTACCATTATGGTGAGGTAACGCATTAACTGACAGGACATGGACAATAAAGATAAGAGTGATAAACCAGAAAAGATACTTCATTGCAAAATATTGTCGTTAGAGTTAGAAGTGTTTGATATTTTGAATTCTTGATTTTTTTTTTTGTTCTGAATGATCCATTCTTTTATATAATTTATCATGATGGTCCGAAAAAACTTTTACTCGTGAATTTAAAGCGATAAAATGAGAATAATTTTGATAAATTCCCCTGAATATCAGATTTTTTGATTAGATCTTCTATTTGATATTTCCATATATATCTCAATTTTAAATCATTAGCCCCACCTTTAATTATATTATTATGCAAGATTATATTACAACGATGACAACGCGTGCATTTTTACTAAATTAATTAATCGAACACGGGATTCGAAGTTTAATTTTATGCAAAAGTAAAGTAAAATTAAATTCTCTGCTCGAATTATCATTTTTTTTAACAAAGTTCATTTGTAAAGCTTTCAATGCCGGAGCTTCCAGAGGTTCACCGTGCCGAGAGAGCTTGTAATGCAAATTTAGTTGGAAAACAGATCGTTCAAGTTGAAACGGTATTATTTCTAAAACGAATCTGCGTATAAAATAATATACATTTTCATTAAGCTTATAAAAAAGTCACCTTAACCTTAGCAAGAAGACAAGTTGGTTTTCTGTGGTATATCAAATGATGAATTTGAACGTAGTTTATTAAATAAGTTCGTCAAAAGTACCGGTCGATGGGGAAAATATTTCTATTTTGGTGAGTAAAAAAATGTGTTGGATTCCGCGTGATATCGTTTTTAATGTCCTGTTAAAATATTAGAAATGAACAAAAGTCCAAACCCTGTCTTTCATTTTGGAATGACTGGAAATATTCGTGTATGTTAACAATCATATCCAGTTAATGATTTGATATAAATTAATTTATTCATTTAATGAATTTTTTTTTTTTTTTTTTTTCCTGATAGTTTAAAGATCAAGGAGCATTTTCTTATCGTAAACCATCCAAGAATGATCCAAGCGAATGGCCTCCAAAATTTTGGAAATTTATTCTTACATTAAAGGATTCGACTAATACATCTTCTGAAAAAGTTGTTATGGCATTCACTGATGTACGCAGATTAGCAAGGATACGTCTGGTTACTAATTCACCATTACAGGATGATCCTATATTAAGGTTGGGATTTGATCCTTTGCGGAACATGCCGGACGTAAAGACATTCAGTGAATTGGTTTTGAAGCGAAAGTGCCCGATCAAAGCTTTGTTATTGGACCAACAATTTTCCGCTGGGATTGGCAATTGGGTCGCAGATGAAGTGTTGTTTCAATCACATGTTCATCCTGGCCAATACGCGCATACACTCATCGAAGAACAAATCAATGCACTGCACGAGAATTTGGTATACGTATGCAAAACGGCTGTTGATGTAAATGCTGAAGCGCGGTTGTTTCCTGATAGTTGGCTTTTTCATTATAGATGGAGTAAAGGAGCGAAGAATGGAGCGTTTATGCCGGATGGAGAACAGATTTTATTTGAAACTGTAGGTGGGAGAACTAGTGCTATTGTACCAAGTGTACAAAAGTTACCTGAAGATACGATAGAAAGGAAGATCTCACGTTCACGTGTTTCTAAGGATGTAGTAAGTTATAAACGTTTACATCTTCTAATGATCGTCAGCTATTACCATGTTATTTTACTCTCCTGTCTTTTATAAAGGAACCTAAGAAGAAATCAACGCGCCAAAAACGTAATTTTACTGCAGCTCAGGATGATCCTTTGTCCAGTAAACCGGTCACAAAACACGTTCAATCACCTATCCAAGTCATTGGTAAGAAACGTAAGATTGTCACAATTCTTGATGATGCAGATGTTGATACTTCGACGATCAAACCATCCGCGAAACGGATTCGCAAGCCAGACAAAAGAGACGGTGAAACGTCAGTCCAAAAAGTGGTTACTAGATCTAATCATACCGTGTCACATGAGTCATCGACAAATAGTAAGTAAATCAGCAGCAGTCGTCGAACAAAAGTCATCTTTGGTAATTCAAACGCGTTCACGTCGAAAAGCTTGAACTGTATTTTATTTTATTTTATTTTATTTTATTTTTTTTTTGATTCAAACATTTGTTTTCAATGTTGTGGAATTCTTTGTATTATTTTTTTTTAATACAATTTTGATGATTCAAATAATAAAGGTTACATTTCATTTAAAAGCATCCCCAAGGTTTTGGTTATATAATCAAAAACCGCAGTAAAATTATCGATGTATAGTTTTAGATCTTGCATGAAAAAGATCGTGTAAAAGTTAACTAAATGTCACCATTGACGTTTCATTAACATCGTTTTTCAATTATTTGGGAAAAATGTTAATGTGTTGTTTGACGGAATCTAATTGGCTAAATCTTTGTGTTTCGGAATATTACTATATATAAATACCACCTTTTTTTCATCCATCGCTTGAACTTATGAATTTAAAGTACTCGTGTTGAAACAAAACCCGGGAGAAAATTTTCACATGTCACAACGTCATTATCCTTCAAATTATCAGGCATGGCCTAATCAACAACAATGGCAATACCAGCAACAGCAACAACAACAACAACAACATTCACAATTACGACAGCAGCAGGATTTATTTCAACATCCTCAGCAACACAGAATTCAAAGTCAGCAACAATATTATCATCAACCACAAGCTCATTATGGATATATGCGCTATGACGGGGGCTATGAATCTATTCCTTTTGTGCATTCGCAACTCTCTCAAAACAAAATGTCCACGAACACTTATCATATGCCTCAACAACTTCCTCAAGTAGAACAAGTTGAACAAGTAAATCAATACGCTCATACTCCACAACAAACAAATCAACAGCAACTTTATCAACAATTACAACGACAATACATACAGCAACAGTTTGTTCAACAACCAGTTGCTCAACAATTAACATCCTCGGAACAATTAACTTCAACACGTCAATTGTCGCAGCCCGTAGTACCGACGCAAGCTCTCCCGCAAGCTCCTAATGTATATCACCAGCAACAATCGTCTCATTTTCCTCGACAACAATCTCAAGAACCTCAATTATTGCCTCATCAATTATTGTGGTATCTGGCGGAACATTATTTAATAAAAGCATCTGCATTATCCACTTCATCTCTAGTTAATTTTCCAGCATTATCCCCACAACACCAACAACATATTTTGGTAGCGATCAAATGTTTGGAATCGGTTCTTACAAGTATGATGACTGGGAATAATTATATGGCATTAGTAGACTTAAAAACACGCTTTAGATTAAGTCAAATTCTTTTTCGGTTTACCGATAATATTAGAGAAGCAGAAAATCATTTACAAAAGGCGATGTTACTTGCTCAAAAGGTAAATAATAATATAAATATTACTGATTAATGAATGAAAAAAAATAAATATTTTCTTTCTATTTTGAAACAGCTTGATAATGTTACAGAACTCAAGTTCAAAATGATTGACCTTCAATGTAACATTTTCAAAAGCACAAATAACCTTAAAGTAGCGAGAAATCTAATGAAATCAAGTGCACTTGAATCAATGGAGTGTGTGAATTATTATTATTATTTTTATTGCAATTGACTTTATTTGTATGAAAATATTTACTAACCTTGAAAATTTTGATTATAGGAGTAATATGCCAAATTGGACATATCACTTTTTGTTAAAACGCTCAGAATTTTATTATGCTGAGGGTGATTTTAATGGATGTTTATCGGTATTAAAACAAGCGGAGACAATGGCAGATCAGAGAGGGGACGTTGAAATGAAGGTACATAATGAATTTTTAAAGAGGTGAAGAATTATAAGGCTGAAGAATTATTTAAATTTTTTTCTTGGTTTTGTAAATTGATTATCATTTAAAATTAAAAATTTTATAGGCATGCCTTCTAATTACAATCGCTCAATATGCGTTTTCAAGCCAAAATTATCCAATAGCGCAACACGCTCTCGCTGAACTATCAACGGTTTATTTTCCACCGCCTTCCAATGTACATCCACAAACATATCACATATTCCCGATATCTAATCAACTACTTCATTTATATTATTCATTATTATTTATTACATATCATATGCATACTGGTAATGTGAAGATGGCCACTGACAAGTTAACAGAAGTGCATCATATTCTAGATCAAAAACGGGATGAGGAGACGGTAGATGAGTTGAAAGGGTATACCACGGTAAATAAACAAATAAATAAGATTTTTTTTTTTTATTTTATTTCAAGGTGATAATATCATTAAATTCATAGAATTATTTTTAGATACATATATCTGCCGCTCCAACAACTTCAATGACAACATATACGAATGCTGCATCATCAGCATCAAGTTTGCCAGTCACGATTCGTTGGTTATCAAAAGCAGAGATTTATACCCTTACATTTTTAATATCGGGGATATGTAATCGTGGAGATAATGCAACAACAAAATCTGCTTTATTCTTGACAGAAGGATTGAAGATTGTTGAGAGTAATTTATTCAAATATATTGATTTGGCGTTGTTTTATTCATTTATTGACACCTTTTTTTTTTTATTCTTTATAGGGGAGATATATTCGAATGATGGTAAATGTTCGAGTGTATTATATTTAAGTGTAACTCCATTTTAATATATTTTAAAATTTTAAGATAATCAATTGCCGGTTCATGATGTCATCAAATCTAAAAAATTTTACGTTATGCTAAAGGCATACATGCTTCAACACCTAGTTGACTCTTATTTGCTGAGGTCAGAATATAATGATGCCGAGAAAGTGAGATGATTTATATCATATATAGTTATCAAAATTGTATGGAAGTTTGAGTTATTGAGTTAACACTCATATTTATTTTTAAAGACTATTGCGCAATTGATGAATTGGTTGACCTCGTATAATTTATGGGCGCAATTCCAAGTACCAGTAGCACTTGCACTAGGAATGATAAACCAATGCGTTGGTAAAGCCTATGAAGCAATGGAATATTATAAAGAAGTAGAAAAGGTAGCTTATGTATGAGAATCTTTTTCTTGTTATTTCAACAAACGTATTTAGATAGATTTATTAATTTATTATTATTATTTCATTATTAAAGACCACCGAAAATAGAGAAATTAGAATACTAACCAAAGTTAACCGTGCTTTAATATTATTTGGTAGTTCCGGTAATAACCAACAACAGCAAGATGTGTGTATATCAAAGGAATTTCTATAATATTAAAAACAAGAATGCTTAGACATTTTTTTTTTTTTTAATGATAGATTGGAATAATAATAGAGGAAATAAAACAAGAAATGATGTATCAAACACATCACATAGATAATTTAAGAGCCATGGTACACTTTTTGGAGGCATTATCGTGTGGTGATTATACACGAACAAAGTAAGGATAGGAAAACTCCCGTTTTTTTTTTCAGCAAGATTTTCGTAGTTAACTTTTTAACTTCGCTGATTTTTTTTTTTTTTGAAATTTTCCCCGCAGAGAACATTTGGCAGAAACTTTAAAATTGTCATCAACATCATCCAATAATCAGCTTAAAGCTTTAACGCTTTCGGTTCTTGGTGCGATTTTCTATTCTACACAGAATGAACAAGCGGAAAAGATGTTAACCGCCGCATATTTGTTATCCAAGAATGCAAATAATGATTTAGGATGCTCTGTTTCTGGTCGTCTTTTAAAAGGTACAAACAAATTTTATTATCAAAAAAAAAATTTTATTTTTTTTTATTATACTTAACAGCTTGAATTATTATCAGATATTTATGAATTTCGATGTAACCAACAAAATTATTCGAAACAATCGGCATTTAATGAACAACATGAGCTAATAGTAAGTAAATCACTCACAGATTGGAATGAAAAAGGTAGAGTAGTACTGGATTTGATGGATGGTGATGGAGATGATGTTTCAAATTCTACCTCCACACTACATCTCCATAATGCTAGTGAAAGTAGTATAAATTCTTCAGGTACAAACATGATACATAGCGTTCCTGGAGGAGGTGGATATGTATAAGATCATATAGGTAAGTTAAAGTATTTTGTTCCGAGTTTATTGTATTTCTCCTCGTCTTTAAAGAAAAAATTGCTTAACGTTTATATTTACACGCACTGAAACTTTTAATAAATACAAATTTAGACCTTCGATACTATAATATTAATACACATGATGATTACTAATATGTATGTTATTAATTTGAACTTCTTCCATAGATATTATATATTTTTATTAAAATATAAGAGATGACGAGTTATTTTATTTAAATGATTTTTTTTGGTCTTATAATGCACATGGCTTAATCGTAGAACAAGATTTTTATATTTTAAATAAAAAATAGATGATGCAATACAAGATGAATTTGGTTTGGCGTGCATTATTGATAAGGTATAAAAATGGGTAGATGATAGTGTTAAAAAATTCCCTGATTTTTTTTTTTTACATTAAAAGATTTATTGGGAAATTATTTATTACACTTTATAATTTGTATATGAAACATTACAGTAATAATTTACATGATAGAGGTCTAGTTACATCATCGTTAATTGTTCGTTTTTTAATTAAATGAATGGTTGAGCAAACCACTTTATCACATTTATATACATATATATATTGTCCTCTTTTTTAAAATTGATCGAATTAACATGCTAGTAGGGGTTACACTACATAAGCCATACTTGAATCAATTCATGTGCTGATGTAAAAATTTTATTATATATAAATAGGGAAATATTGCCTTTTTCAGAGTTCAAAAATCTTTTTACTTTTTGCTTTACAAATTTTAATTCTTTTATTTCCCTCGCATCAAATATATTGAACATTCACAACAACAACCACCATAATAAGATAAAATGGGAATTTGCGTATCTCGAAACAAAAAAAATGACCATATGAAAGAAGTATTACTTCATAAAGGAGAATTTTTGGGAGCCGATTTGAGAGCCATGTTTAATAATCCGGTGTATAGCGATATCATAATAACATGCAAAGATGGAGGAGTGGTGTACGGTAGTAAATTATTACTGGCGGCAAGATCGGATATATTCGCTCGTTTATTAATAAAGGATATCAACAACAAGGAGAATGATAAAGAGAATAATAACAACAGTAGCAGTTTAAGTTTGAATAAACTCAATTTTGATAATAGTGAGAATAACCTAACATTTACGGAATTTAATTCAGAAATATTATTAATAATATTAGAATATTTATATATGGGGAACATAACGATGGAATCATTAACATTAACAAATGTGGTAGAAGCGTATTTAGGAGCGGAATATTTTTTATTACCAGGATTGGAAGAAATCATCATAACATTTCTAGATAACGCATTAAAATGTAGCGCGGATAATAATCTATCGGCGAAGATCTTAACCCATGCATCGGAATTTATGTTACCATCATCTGATGATACGCTCTTTCGCACATTACATAATTGTCTAGTGATAACCCCGTTAGAATCCATTGATTATGATAATTTGACGACCGAAGGTTTAACATTTATTTTATCACCTCTTAATATTAATACGAGCTATGAAGAATTCGTTACATCGGAATATGGAATATTTCGTTATATAACATTATGGTCTGCGTATCATTGTGATGAGAATAATGATTCGATTTTGTCATACTTTGAACCATTATTACCGTCATCAGATCACGCCGAACATTTGGACGCGGGGGAATTAGAACAATTAAGAAAATTACACGAAAAGAATTCAAAAAAATCGAAATCAAAGGAAATTAAATCATCAATCACGACAACATTAAATGCATTATTACCTAGCGTGGATTTTAAACTGATTCACCCTTCAATATTAGCCAACATAATTGAACCCTTGGATATCGTGCCGAATGATATGTTGATTGACGCTTTTAGGTATCAAGCGCAATTACCCGCAGGTTCAGGTCCAAAGCGTAATCGTGGTACTATAACGGCCAAACCGGAAAATTTGAGATTACAATGGAGTCAACAAGCTTGTGGTAAACAATGTATGCTATTGGAAAATGACATTTTATTAAAATCATCCTCAAAAAAATATGAATGGGCCAGAACCACTTTACCCATTCGTGGTTATGAAATTTATGAATGGGACATCTTTATTGAAGAGACTTGTAAACATCTTTGGATAGGGGTTTGTACCGAAAGAAAATTTAAAGTGGATTATTCTACCTGGTTAGGGGGAAATATTTATGGTTGGGTTTTAGGTTCAAATGGTTTACTTTATCATAATGATCAATCGAGCTTAACAGAGTATGGTATGGAATTTGGTAAAGGGGATAGGGTTACCGTACATCTTAATATGGGTAATAGATCTTTAGCTTATTCTATAAATGGTATTAGGTGTGGTGAAGCTTGGAACACTTTACCTCCTGAACTTTATCCTGCAGTTTCATTGAAAAAACCTGCAAAGGTTAGAATTGAAATGCACAAGCAACCGATTATTATCGATAATAATCATTACTTGATGCCTCAATTAATTCAATCGAATGTTTCGAAAATTCCGAATATTCGAAATAGAGCAATTAGCCTGGATAGTCTGAATAGTCTAAATACCCCTAATAATACCCCAAATCTTACCCCCAATAATCAAAATACTCCAAACACTTCAAATACTCCAATTATTTCTACCTCCGATTCAACGTCACAAATTTCTGCCGAATAAGGAGATGCAAAACATTCATTCTTGTACATATTTCTGTATTTATTAAGGCCAAAATTTTTAAAAAAAAACTGGCTGCACGTACTTGTGTTATTTGTTATTCGTTAATTGCTTTCATCCATTACTTTTATACATACGTTGAACATTTTTTTAAAATTTTATTAAAATCATAGAACTATAATAAATGGATTCATTCATTTGATTTTTTTTTTTTTTTTAAAAAAAAAAAACCAATAAACTAAAAGCGTTTGTCATTGGATATGTAATTAATTTGACAATATGTTATAAATATGCTTGTCCGGAACATTAGTTTTGCCGGAACCTGATTTGATGGTTGGGGTCCACTGGGTGACAAATAGTGTTGTGACGAATAAATTTTTGAGTAGAAAAAAAGTTTCTGTTGCGAAACGGTGATAAACAGTGCAGATCTTACCATATGATCACAGATATAAATAGTCGCGTCGCGAATAAACGTTTCTAGATATCAAAAAAACTCTGCTTTTATTAAAAATGTCCGCAATCCTTAAATATTACGAATTATATAACACCGGCTTTTTTTTTTAAAAAAAACAAAACAATTTGATTTTAAAGAACCGGCTAGAATAGAATTTTTTTAAAACAAGAAATCTTGGTCCCTATTAGAATACCTAAATTATTGGCACTTTTTCAAGAAAAAGCTAAGGAATATTTACTTTACTCGAGAATATCTGACTTTATACGCCGAAAATGAAGAAGTAAAAAAATTCGCAATACGTTGTCAATACTTTTAAAGTAAGTAATTTCTTGTTGGTATTTAGATTAATGGAGGCATAGTTGGTATCAACAGTGCTGTACCGGCCAGGATTAGTGGTGCTGTTTTGATTACTTGCATAGCTGATTTAGAAAGAGGCATCATAGTGCTGTACCTGCCAGGATTAGTGGTGCTGTTTTGATTACTTGCATAGCTGATCTAAAAGGAGGCATCATAGTGCTGTACTGGCTAAGTTCATTCGGTAGTGCTGTATTGATAAACTTGCATAGCTGATTTAGTGGAGGAGGCATAGTTGATATCAATAGTGCTGTACCAATGGTGTTAAATCCATCAATTAGTTGCTTGCTTAGATTTATCTAACAAGTTCTTCTATATGTTTAGGATGATACTAAAGTTGCAAATATTTCTGAGTTCTGGAAATCAATCGAAGTTGAAATATCGCCATCTCTGCCTATTTTTTTGGAAAAATTAGAAGCGGTGGTATTTATTATAGTCCCTAATTAATAATCCTTAAAACTAGCAATATTATTTACGCTTTAAATATTAACTCCACATATACTATTCTATATTTTAAACTAAATTATCACCTTGGTATGAATTAGAACAATGGTCTCGTAAAAAATATTTTTCAGACTTTGCAGATATTAATTGGCCAGATCGATCTGTATTTGATAATTTAATCGTGAATTATCTACAAGACATCCTTATACGCTAGTAAGTATATTTTATTTATGTTATTTATTTTATCCATATTTAAATTATCCGTATAGTTCATTATTGTTCCCCTTATTTTGTCACATGATTAATTCTTCAGGCCATAATGCCGGCCAAATTACCGACGCTTTAGACGGGCCCCTTGAATGGCAATACGTGGTCAAAAAAAACCAAAATCCGTATTTTTTATCACATGCACACTCTTTTCTTAAAATTTTTAAAATTTTTATAGTGGAAACATATCAAGACTTGACCAAACAAATTGAATCTCTTTACAAATACATTAGAAATCATATTTAATGTGCCTTACAAAACAAAAAAAAAAATTTAATGTATTTAAGATAATGTTTATCAACATAATTTGAGATTTTCGCTCCGCCATGACATTTGTTGCCAAAAAAAAAAAAGGATTTTGCTTGTATAGCTTAATATCTTTGATTATATTATATCAACAAAAAAAAAAGTTAGCTATAACACGTGATAAGAACTTTGACGGCTTTCCCTCATTTGATCTTTTGTGGCTTACAGTTAAGCCGCAATTTAAAAAAAAAATATATATATATATATAAAAACATTAATTTGATAATTTTTAAACATAAAAATAAAACAATAATAAAAAGAACAAAATGCAAGGATCACGCTTTATAGAAGAATTTGACTCGGATTTATCACCTCCCCGCAAAAACGAAAGTCCTTTAGAAAAGTTAATGCTAATCAATAAAACGCAATTTATTACATTCGTTGTGGCATTACTTGCTTGGACGTCCGTTTCATTTAATTTTTTCATTGTTACGTTTACATTACCTTATATCGCTCGAGATTTCAATTTGCGTCCATCTGATATTGCCGTAAGGTATATAAATATTATTTAAATTTCAATTTTACAGGCAAATAAATTCAAAACTTCATATTAATTTTAGATTAGCATTACTTTTATGTTAATATTTCGACCGCTAGGTGCATTGATATTTGGTTTACTATCAGACAGATATGGTAGGAAATATACATTAATAGTTGATATTTTTATGTCCAGTGGATTACAATTAGCATCAGGGTTTGCGCCAAATTTTTCAATCTTTGTTATTACGAGAGCACTTTTTGGGGTTGCTATGGGAGGTGAATGGGGTTTAGGAGCCGCGTTAACAATGGAAACCTTACCAATTGAAAGTCGTGGGTATTTATTTATTTATTTTTAACCTAATAAGTGATCTATAAAGAAAAGTTATCAATATCGATTTCTTTGACAGTTTGTTATCGGGAGTTTTACAAGAAGGTTACTCTCTTGGATTTCTCCTAGCGGCGATAATATATTATGCCGTAATTACGAATTGGGGATGGCGTGTTACGTATTACATAGGTTCATTTCCGGTTATTCTAGTTATAATAATATTTTTTCTGGTACCAGAATCCGAAGAATGGCAAAGACTACGTGCTCTACGTAGAAAATCATACAATTCATTTGAAGATATACGGTTAATTGTAACCAATCATTGGAGAAAATTATGTTTCACTATATTTTTAATGACCGCGTTAAATTTCGTAATTCACGGTAGGACAATGATTAATTTATGATTCTTCAATTAATGCAATACGTGTATATAATATATGCATATGTAATTCATATGTTTTATTATCAAAAAAGGGTCAAAAGATTTGTACCCAACATTTTTGAATGTTCAACTTGACTTCACACCAGGTCAAATAACTTTTATCACAACAATTGCAAATGTGGGATCATTAATAGGAGGGGTAATAAGTGGTTACATTAATCACTTTGCTGGAAGAAAAAATACAATGATGGGTTTTATATTTTTCACCGGATGTTTTTTACCTTTATATGTGATGCCGAAGAATCATAATATTTTGGCAATCGGGGCTTTTGTTATGTACCTTTGTATAGCCGTAAGTAAATATTAAATATCATGTTTTTCTTACTAAAAAATAATAATAATAAACGCTCAACTCTTTTATCATTTTGTTTTTAGGGTTGCTGGGGAGTAATTCCAGCTTACTTGTACGACATCTCTCCAGTTGAATTTCGTGGAACTTTTCCCGGTTTAGTCTATCAAATTGGCACACTATTGGCCGCTTCTTCCGCACAGATTGAAGCATTCTTTGGTGAAACGCTAATTAAGGATGAAAAACCTAATTATGGGTTAACAATTGCTTTATTAACAGGTTTCTCTGCCTTCATTATCATTCTTATTTTAAATTTTACTAAATATGTTTAAAATGTTTCCTCTATTTTTAAAAAAAATTCAAGATGTATTTTCTTTGTGACTAGCGAATAATTCGAATCACGCAATAGATGGTTAGAATTAGAATCCAAATTAAATTAAAAATTAAAAAAAATATTAGTTATTACAATCAAAAGATTAAAATAAATCTGCAGTGGCGCAGTAACACCCGAGTTAAATTATTATTTACAAACATTTTATTATTACACTATGACGTGTTATTCCAAACCCGAAGCCTTGATCATCAGCTTTTACGCATCCATTGTGACGTACTCCGCCCGGCATGATCATTCTATCAAGTTTGGAATGTAAAGCTTTGATCCGGACGAATATCATTAGCTGCTATGGTAACAAATGGTATAGGGGAGTTTGACTTGATTGAAATACCAAACGAGTGCTTATGCTTTAGCTCAATGAAAAACAATCGAAGTCAGAACCGCAATCACAATTTAAGGAAAAAAAAAAAAGCGGATAAATTTAGCAAAACGATTTTATAATATGATAATAAGATACATTTTGAGAGATTTAAGAAAATTCATTATTATTACTTACCACCAAAGTTAAATACTTTGCCAGATTTACTTACACCGGTTCCTTCCGTTTTCATCTCAATTGTAAAATCCCTATTTACGGTCGCAATAGGTTTCTTATCGCACGTTCGAATCGTGACTTGATGAGACGACTTGTAATCTGATTCAAATACAACCCAATAATAATAGGTAAATGCAGTTTTGGATGAAAGAAATTTTCCTTTACCATCAGCGCGTTTTTTTTCAAAACAGAACTAGCTGTCGGAAAGGAAAAGATGGGAATAGCGCTTATGAAAAGGATTGGAAGAGGAAGAAAGTGAATTTGGTCATTTTAAAAATATTTCTTGATATTTATGGGGATTTAAATAGGGGAATTTTACGAATTTACGGAAAAGAAGTGAATATTATACAAACGAAACGTTGAAGAATGACAATATGCAAAAGAAATATTATAAACGAACGATAAGAAGATGAAAATATTTTTTTGTTTTCCTCCAAAGGGCTTAAAACTCATGATTTTATACAGTTCTTGGAATCAATATCGAATCATTATGTAAATTACTTAAATTTGTTTATAAGTTGTGTTAACATGCAAAAAGTTTTATAATATTAACAAAAAGTTATACCCGCAACACAGAGACCCGGAAAAATTCCATTTTTATAATAAATGAATAAATCGGAATTTTTGCTGTATAATGGAGTAAAATGGAA